GGGTAGGCTCACACTTGTGCACATATTCACAGAATCTATGCTGAGTGCACCTAATTAAAAGCCTAAAAAATCCTTCCTTGAAGAAAGAACATAACAAGCGGATAAACATGCCAAGAGGGGAACCTTTTAGTGAATAATTACACCAAAACTTCAGGACATAAAAGAACTACACAAACTGTCTACATAAATGACAGGGACCAAATTTATCTGACGATTACATGGAAAAAGTTATAGTATGATCTAGAAAGCAAAGGCAGAAGAAAGGATCAAGCATAATTATCGGTTTAAAAAACCAATTCAATGTGTATGGTTAAGCATTTTTTTCTGCTCTTTTCCCTCATACAAGTCCAAATCAAACACGAGGCAGAGTCTTCCATGTGTCGATTTATGTCATTCATTATTTGAATAGTAGATAATTGGGGTTCAATCAACATCAATTGTTAGCAAATGTTACTATAAGCTATGATAAAGAGAAAAAGACCAGGCCAGACAAGCATTGCATCACGTTGAGCTTTGCAGGAATATATCTCACTATTATAGATTCCACAAACCATGCAAAGTTTCAGAAAGGCTGAGAATAAAGACATAGTGAATAATTTAAAATGTGAAGGAAATCAAGAGAAAAAAGAATCACAAGCAAAGAACTCCAAAGGAGACATGGAACTTACAATGGCACTGTTGAAATATAGATCAGGATTGGCTTCATTCTTTCATCTTTCTCCTGGCATATATTAACAAAACTTTATGTTTTCTGCATTATTAAAGAAAAGCCTACAATGAACCAGTTCATTCACTTATACTCACAGCATTTTGATATGCTTTACAGAATGTTGAAGTTTGCTATGATCCCAAGCTCCAGAGACAAAAAAACTAGTAAGGCATGCATTTCCAAGATTATCTGTCAAGAAAAACCGATGATGTTAAAAGAAATAAATTTTGCAAAATTATTTTCAGAACAGCCAAATATTTTGAGAGAGATATAAGGAGAAAGCAAAATGGACCACTTTGGTTTCTCGTATGTACCTTTTTCATTCATAAAGGGGGGAACTGAATGTGAAGGATAAGCAATGAATATAGAAAATATATTAGTTTCTTAAGGAAAAATGCTTTTGGTTTCTTAAGGACTCTGTTGGACTCAGAAGAAAAAGGGAAGGAAAGAGGATTAGAGGCCAAATTATGATTTCCTTTCCTTTGTTTGGATGTCTAATGTCATATATGTCTCTCCTCCAAAATTGATTAAACTGAAAAAGATGGGGCTTAAGGGTTCAAAACTGTCAATTTTACCACAAATTAGTGATAGATAGATACCGAGGGAGGGAGACCCACCCCCCGGGGGGGTGGGGCGGCAAAATCCGCCACACCAGGAAGGATGACAATGAAACAATGAAACCTTCCCTTTGCTTCTTCACTCCACCCCTTCCCCACCATCCACATCATTAGTCATTCAAATAACGTCTTATTACAATTCTCAATGCTCATTTCAGGGAAAGAATAAAAGCGTTGTAAACACTTCAGCTATATTTTTTTAATGTTCTCTGATGGCTGCACATATAGCCAAATTTATCGCCTACCAGAGAGAAAGAACTTATACAATGGCACTCTAACAAACAAGATGATATGAACTTTAAATATTCAGTGTGACTGTGTCAATATATGAACTGTTGTTTGATAGCAAAGCCAGGTTTATTCTTTGAATTCATGTTTACAGAATCTTACACCAAGAGTAACCATCCTTGACATCTAAAGTGATAGCTTCCTTCGCATGTTGAATGCTTTCCTCAACAAGTTCTGCCTGATTCTCAGCACCTGTAGAGGAACATATTTGTAGAAATCAAAATTGTACATGAATCATGCAACAAACTGGAGTAACTAGTCCACAACCACAAGCACTCTTTAGAATTGCTGGAAAAAAATAAACAATTCCCAAGGAAATTAGCACAAGTTATTAAAAAAAAAAAAAGTAAGAGTTATTTAATATGATAAAATTACAATGGAATCCTTTACCTTGTGACATTTTCTTTTAAGCATTGATAATTGACAAAGAATATTCTTGTTAGGACCCTGAAAAAAACAACCAATACATATCATAATGTCAATCAATTCAAAAACAGAGCCAGTGCAGAGCAAAACTGACACTTAGAATAGAATAGTTATGGCTTTTAATATATCTGCACAGTGTCTATTTCAAATCTTTGAAATTTCCAGTCATTACAGTAAATTTCTTCCCATCACCATATATTCTCTACAGTTAATTCAATATTCCACAAAATCAAGAAGAAAAACTATCACATCAAGACATTCTCTCAATCAGTTAACATTTCCCTCCCTCTTTTTATTGCCTACTTTTCACGGGAAAAGGTTTCAGGTTATTCTATCTGATATGACAAGAAATTTGATTAAACGGAGAGGATAAGGAATACAAAAGAAAAATAATAAAGAAAACAAGATCATCAATACAATATTCCTCTCCAATTTTTCTGCATGTCTAATGAACAAACCTGACCCCATAGAAAAATACATGTTCCACTGAATGCCAAAGAGAACCCTTATAAACAACCCTATGTCATAAAAAGATTTTACTACAAAGGATTATCCAAGAAAATCCGAGCATTCCATATCAACTAAACACAGCATAGTGAAGCACACAGATGGCACAGGTGAATATAATTTTGCCATCCTCACATCAGAAAAACCTTGATTTTGCTTTCATACTCAAGCAGCAATGAAGAATCTAGTACACATCAGAAAAACTATTATCTCTCCCATTTCTTTGTTTGTCTGTGTTCCCATGACCAGATTATGAATTTTTTTTACTCACAGATACAATTAATCAATATGAAGCCCTTCAAAGCAAACAAAGTCATTCTGTTATATGAATCAGATTAGTTAGGGTAAGGCTCATGGTTGTTATTCAACAAATAGAGCCTTCAAGAGGATTAAAAATGCAACTAAGCTCTGCAAGTATATCAACATCTTCAATAGCGGTCATTATAGGGAATCTAATGTCAGCACTAACCTTGCTTAATGCAAGACTAAGGCAGTTTTTAGCAGCAGATAGATCTCCTTTCTTCCAAATGCAATTACCTAAACATAGCCAAGCGTCTGCAAGAGATGGGTTTAGCTTAACCTGATGCATAAAAATAGAAAAGTTAGACATAAATCATGCCAATCAAAATCAATTGCAAGACGGATACACTTAGACACAGAAACTAACAACTTGCTTGTGCTTACAGCTTTGATAGATGATCCTCTGCTTCTTTGTTATAGTCAGGACATACATCCAATGTCTTCCCTCTCAAATACTCAAATGTTGCACGTTGCATAGGCAACTTCCTTCTTCTGGAAAAGAAGACAATTTTAGGAATTTTAGATGCCTAGTTGTCGAAACCCAGATCAAATCATATATTACTTGTGGAACAAAGCCGTAATATCAATATATCATTGCCCACAGAAGAAAATGGACAATTGGATGGTAGAAGCAGCAGCATCTACCGCAAGCAAGAAAACGAAAATAGCAAGAAAGAACAAGTCGTTCTTCTGGTATTTGATAGGTCAGAGAATCCCACTAAGCCAAATACGCCCTTTCCTCACACTGACCCCTCAGTCCACAATATATTCTCTGCTAACAGCTCTCTCTCTCTCTCTCTCTCTCTCTCTCTCTCTCTCTCTCTCTCTCTCTCCTCTCTCACCCACTCATGACAACCCATTTGAGTTAGTTAACACTATTATTTCCCTTCTTTTATCCCTCTGTCCAGCTCATGAGAAACAAAAAATCAGGACACCTTTTCGCTGTTTCTCATCCTTGTTGTCCATAACAAAGTTTCACATTTCAAGTCATTCTTATTGGTACTGCAGTATCGTATATCAAGTCTTCAAATGTACCCTATGGACGTTTCAATCATAACAACAGGCATTCGGGAACTCTTGAAAACCAAAATTTCCAATCCCTGTAACAGAGTGAATGAAATAGTTCTCTCATTCATTGAAGTTCTACCCTAGCTTCATTGGTTGTTCAATAAGCAAGAACAAGCATCTTCAACGCAATATTTGAAGTTTGAACAAGTAAAAGAGAATTGCAAACTGCACCACCGAATCTTATTCGTGAACTCTCACTTTATGTTCAGTTTTCTCAAATCAAATATACCCGCAGGCTCGGTTTTCCGAAAAAACGAACTGGGGAAGTAGCATAAAAAGATACAAGTTTATACGAATAGGTCAAAATTTATCAGGAGGATAGCATCAAGAATCAAGAATATGAAAAAGAAAATTCACCTGAAGGAATAGAATCGAGGAATTTCAGAGCAAAATCGGATTGTTCTCGCAGTTTGGAGATCTTGTCATCTTGATTTTCCGGAAAATAGGTGTCCCGTATGTGGTAAAGATCTTCAACTAATTTCGCAGCTTTCGTTAGGGAGTGTTCCGCAGCTGGGCTGCTCATCTCAGTTACTATGGCGAAAGACACTGTTGAAGAAGTCAAGGAATCTCACCGAGAGTGAAAAGGCTAGTTTTCACTTAAAAGCAAGACCCCCGGGTCGTTATTAGAGCGAGAGCATCTCGCCTAATCTTAGGATGATTACAAGAATATCTCAAGAAAATGCTTGTAATCTTACAAATCTGTCGACAATATTTCTGCGCCCACCATTGAAAATAGAAAAGAACGGAAAAGCATAATTTGGAGTCGTAAATAAAAAAATAAAGCTATTAAAAAGGGAAAATTCATAAGGATCCCGCTGGTTTGGCATGAGAGAAATAAAAAAAATTAAAATTATAAAACTAAAAGTTTTTTAATTAATTTTCATTATTTTTTTATATTAATTGTTTAATAAAATTTTAAAACGCTGCTTTTTAATTTTTTAAATAAAGCTTATTAAAATTTTTCATCCCGCAACATTTCTCGTGTAACCTTATCCTCTAGTCTGCCCTTCTGAGCACCCACAGTAATTTAAGTTTGAATTAAGTAATTTTTCATTGATGCACACATATAATATATTAATTAGTCTTATTCTCTCTTCTGTTCCAAATATAAAATAAACATTCTGTTCTGGTTCTTTATATAAAACTCATCTATTTTGTCCATATATTGAATATTTTTATTACAATACCTCTAATTGATACTCAATTTTGTCTCAAAAAAGTTATCACCCTTAAAACATCCTCTTAGATATGATGAGGGATAATTGTGAAAAAGTAGAACAAATATTTAACGCATTAATTATAAATAATTATTTTAAGTAATTGTTTAATCTTAATAAATTAGTTAAAATTCCTAAGTTAGGATTTGAAGAGAATAATTAATACTATATATCAAAAGCCATAAAACCATGATTGAATAAGCCATACTATTTAGGGATAATGAATAGTATATAGGTTATTACAGATTTAATATTTTTTAAAAATTTGGTAACACCGTATTTTAACTTATATTTGTTATAAAAATGAGAAAGTTAGAGAATAACAAAAACAAGAATTGGGGAGAGAAAAAGAAGTTTCTTATATCCTTATATAGATACAAGTGCTTTGTACATGGCCCTATTTATAGATCTTAAACCATTAAAGTCTAATCCAAAGTTTACAAAAAAAAATGAGGAAAGGAATAATTAACAATAAACATAAAAAACTCCTTCAATTCATTCATTAGGGGTTATGGGTTTAAGATATTCAAAGATTAAAAATTTATAAAGAATCCTAAGAGTTGAGGGCTATGACATCCGCATATATATAATATTTATAATATACTCCTTCTTAGATGTCCATAACAAATATTGTGTCTCATTAAAATCTTATTAGGAAAAACCTAGTGAGACAAAAACCTAATAAAGGAAAAAATAACAATATATATTGGAGCAGCCTCTGTAAAACCCTTGTAAGAAATCCTATGGGACAAAACATTAGCTAGGGAAAAAGAGTACAGCATGATCTTTACTCTCTTTAATGATGACATCACTGTTTACTCTCCTATCAACAGCGTCACTTTTTATCATTTTGTCACAATAAAGTATACTAATTTCTCAAGCCGTTCAATGCTTTTTGAAGCATATCTTTTTTTTAGCTAAACTATGCATAATACGTTGTTATCAAATTATATTGAAATGTTTTCATTAACATATCTTCTAGATATGTGAAATTATCAATATATTCTTTACTTGCACTGAGAAATGCAAAGAAAGGTTATTCTAAAAAACACCATAATATATCTTATATTGATGTAATTAATTTAATTTCAACAAAATGATATCATATAATATTTTTATAAAACTATCATATCCATCTCAATTTCATTATTCATATGCATACGTGCAACAACGTAACTTCACCACAAAATTATAACACGTAATATTGACAATATATATAAATATTATTATGAAAAAATATATAGGATTTCTAGTCTATTTAGTTGAATATATTTTCCGGACAAAATTATCATGATAAAAATCAATTATTTTGCAATCATTAATGATTTCAATAATTTGATCTAACGGTCAAGTAAGATACGAAATTATTTATTTGTTAATATATTTTTCTGAGTTGAATATGTATACTCAAATTATCTTAATCAATATAATATTTCAAATATTAAATAATTTTCTTCTATATATATGCTTTTAACATTTTAAATCTTTCAAGAATTCTAACATAAACTTCATTATCTAGTGAGTCACTTGTAAGGGTGGAAACAGGTCAGACCAGACCAGGCCTTACCCTTAATAGGCCCAGCCTGTGGTGAGGCCTATTAGCCTGAGCCTGGCTTGTGACTTGTGAAAGGTTTTTTTTTTCAGCCTGAGCCTGACCTGGCCTGTGACTTATTAAGAGGCTTGTTTTTTTAACAAATTTCAAACACACATAAAATCAATTCAAAATTATAATAATTCAACCCAATTTATTTAAAATATAAACAGAAAATATGAAATTATCAAATTAACACAATTTGTAAAACATGTCCCCTTAGGCCCAAAAAAAATCAAATATGAAAAATTATTAGAAAACATAATTTCACTCTGGTATAACAACATCACTTCA